GTTCAGCATCCCTCCTCAGTGTTTGTGCACACAGACCAAGCCCTGAATTGATCTAACTCTGCAAGTCAAGCTGGCACCAGAGCTCATGTCTTGAGTCACATATCTTAAATAGTTCCTGTACCTGGAACAAGTAAAGTATTCACTCCTCCTCCTTTGCGCAGTGTGATTTACAGATTATTATACAGTGATATCAGCATTTCCTCCATTGTCAGCATTTGACATTTATCCCATGGGCTTATTCTACACCTACAAAGCTAGTTAAATGCTCTCAGCTGACTGCCACTTGACATTCGGCAACAACTACAAGTTGTCTGTGGAACTCAGATACCCCTATACCGCAGTGATACCAACAGAGTGTCTTAAGAGCCATATGCAATCCAAGCATGGTGCAAATAGAGACATCACAAAACCCATACCATTTGCATTACAATTTCATAGTAATCTTAATAAGCACCTCTGCTATTGTGCACATACAATGGTACGGCCAAGACAAACTAAACTTTCTGAACTTGAGACTGCTGGACTGATTCAGATTGGGGGAAAGACCTGGACTGATTAAACCACCCAAAGTCCGCACACATCTCAGGGTGGGCACACCTGAACAAGCAGATGCAGTGATGTAATTGCCAGTGTGAACTTCAGAAGTGATCTTTTAGTTGTTACTTTAAGAGCACATTCTTCAACACTATTTTGAATTTTCTTACACTTTGGAAGTCACTTTGAGAAAGACACCTAACTACAGCCACCTTCTTCCTAGAAGGAAACTTTTATCTCACTTTAAACGCTTTTACTAGTTGCTATCTAGAAGTCTTTCACTGTTTTGTTTATAGTCACGTATTGACACAGCTGCGATTTGGTTTCCAGAGTTCCCCAAGAAAAACAGCTAATTAAAGTCCACAACAGTCATAGCTCTAACAGGTCAGAAAAACCTCTACTGCAACTCATGCTTTGCTGCTTGCCTAGAAGTCACCAACAGAAAGCCTTTAAAACATTGTCTTTTACATTCTACTCATTTTTTCTTCCCAAACAGAAACCTGCCTCTTACTAGGTCGTCTTCACAGCTACTTTCACCAACTACTAAAGACTGCATTTTCAACCCATCATGTTCTGAATAAAACATGTAACCCAGATTATTGCCTCACTGCTAATGGGAATTGTGTACCACACACCATACTCTAAAAGTTTCCTCTCTAAAATGCACCTAAAAATGGAGTTGAAGGCATAGATCCCAAGGTTAGTTTGCTTTCCTTTTAATTTCTCTTTAATTATCTTGTCTCAGACATGTACAAAATTTAAGTGGACCAGTAAACGTCTCTTATCAATATATTTAAAGGGGGGAAAAAACAAAAAGGTGTGTGTGGATACCACACACCATACTCTCAAAGTTTCCTCTCTCTGTAGCTCTCATACTCTACATCTCATTTTAAAGATGATGAATGGGTCATGCAAAAATATATGCCACTATCTAAAGGCTTAACAATGATAATACTTATGTAATAAGGATTACAAAAAAAAAATAAAGACAATTCTTCAGAATGCAAAAAGGAAACAAATTTTTTATTGCAAAATCTTTCTTCTTCAGACTGTAAAGTTTCCATAATATCTGTGAGGCCAGCAATTTCAAATGCAGGATGAAGAGGTAGAAGGCTTCCCTTTATCACTTCTTTTCCTCAAAAATGCATCTTAGGCTACACACTACTCAAAAATTAGTAAATAAGCCAAAATAAATTAACTGATAAAGCAGTCAATATAAATTTGTAACCAGCAAGCTGTTCTTCCACATGGTCTACCAGAATTTGAATGAAAATAACAGGCATCTGAGAAGGGGAAATATTATATATATCATACTTCCTGTACTCATACTTGATAGAAACCTTAGACTTTTTTATTTTTAACATCAAAAAACAAATCTAGAAAAGCTGAATAATAGTAATTCCTTACACGTGGTAAGACAAAAATACCACTTTATTCTCCCTATCCTGGTGTCAGTCCCAAGACACTGTAAACTAGATCATTGAAATTAAACTGGGATTAAAAATAACTACTTGGGGGGCTTTGTATGTCTTGATGAATGAAGTTGAATGAATGAAGGTGAATATCTTCTCTGGCTTTAGAGCAACACTAATTCTTAGCAATACAATATGAAAACGCAGTATTTATCCAGGACCAAACAATGTCCAAACATTATCCCTGATACAACTTCACTACTTCTGGCCACATACAACCGTAGTAAACTGCACACATCTTACCCTGGAGACAACTACTTTTTCCAAAGTTTCTGAAATTCTTATCTTTTGCAATCCAAGGACTATTTAAAGTTAGGCCTGCAGGAAAGAGCCAGTGATTCAGTTCTCTAAATCACCTTACTCTAATGATAAAACCAGGGCAAATTAGTGTGTTTTCAGGTGCAAGAGGAGAAAGATAAACTGCAAAGGCCTACGATCGCAGGGCTTCCTGATCCCAAAGCAGGCAAGGGAAAAGAGGCTTTGGCCGCCGTGCACATTCTTCTGGGAGCTCAGGTGGAGGGATACTGTGACCTTTTCCACGACAGTCATCGTGTTCCCCCACTGCTTTGGTCCCGAGAGCCCCAGCCAAATGCCTCCCTCCTCCAGGAAGGGATCTGTTGGGCAGCAGCATATCAAAATCGTAAAGAAGCTTCAATACATCCCCATGGATCAGTACTGATTTCACTACTGTCATTTGCCACATCTGTTTTCAAGATTTCTTTGTTTTAAAAGAGCAATTCAGTGTCACCATGTGAAAGATTAAGAACCTCACTCTTCCCACAAGAGTGGCTCAAGTTTACTAGCAGAGATGAAGGCCTAGGTCTAAAGCAGAATACATTGACTTCTAGCTTCTCACCGAAATCAACATATTGATGGGAAATTAGGAGACTGAATACTTGACTGAATGTTAGCTCAAAAGGCTGTTCTGTATTTGATCTGCAAGTTTAAAATGGCAACAGGCACGCATTTCCCACAGCTGCAATTCATCAGCACAAAACAGCTGTCATCTCATGCAAAGAAATCAGAAGGTGAAACAGAAATGCAATTAGTTTGCATTAAGTCCAGCCTGCTAGAAGTGCAGCGTAACATAAATTACGTGTAATTTGAAACTCTAGGTTTAAGAGATTGCTGCAACAACTGCAGATGAATTCAGGATGTAATCTATTTTCTGAACAGTTTTCAGAGATTATTCACATACCCACACATACCTCATTTATAAGCTGGAAAAGTAAGGAAGACTAAAGAAGTCTTTAGATATCTATTTCATGATTAAAAGTAGCACTTTTTCATACTGTCATCAGACTCTCTAATTTACAATTTGCTGAAGATGTCTCCCTTTCTAATCATTCATAAATATTGTACTGATCTTTCTAGAACCTGGTTGTTTCTCTACTGTGAATGAGACTAAGGAAAGGCAACAGTTATCAGCGGTTAACACACCGAGTCTCAGGAAACACATCCACCCCCTGTGAAGCACACAGCCCGTAGGGCCAAACTCTACCTTTGTCATCCATGAGAAGTTCCATACAAGTAATAACAACAAGGGAATTTTTTTGGAAGTTACCTATAATTCATATTTGTCCAGGTATATGATTAAATTAAAAGAACTTGTCTTCAATGTAATTGAAATTTATTGTCTTGTAGAGCAGATGCCAGACTGATACAATGCAAATTCAAGCCCAGTATTTAGAGAAGATTCAGCATTTTTTCCAAGAGGTTTTATTTCTGGGGGTTTGGGGTGCGGGTTTCTTTTTCTAAGCTTTCTTGATTCAGCTCAAGTGAAAAATGCATCCCTTCTTTCTTAAAGTGAAATAAACAAGACAGAATTCAGAAGCTGCCTTCATTTCATTGCTGGTCTCACCACTCAAACTGCTGTCAAGTCTACCAACTAAATTGGTGTTTTACGCTTTTCAGCCCCATTGCCTACCAACATCTGGCTGGTGCTCCATTCACATAAATTCCAGCTAACTACTTGCAGATGAAGAAACATCTTTCCATCCAAGGAAAATTTTAGAAAGCTCAGTGGAATCTACTGCCAACCACACCATGTTTTTCAGGCTGTGGAAACCTTGCCTATTTAATTTTTATTTAAAAAGTTAACTAGAATGTTTATAATAAGTAATGACATTTTAATTATGCACAGTGTAACAACGACGAGCATTCGCAGTCAAACACCCAGTTTAAATCATCAGATGCTACTCCGAGAGCCTGGCTCCAAACTTGCGGGCACACCTTAAGACATGCTGCAGTACAGGCACATGCTCTCTCGGACTCAGGTTTGTACATGAATGTAACTCAGACCCACATGCAAATTGCATGCACTCGTTCAAGTCAAGTAGAAGAGCCAATATCCAATTTACATGCAAAAATTAAGTTTCCAGATACACAAAGGCAGACATAAGAAACAGCATGCTAAGTTTGGATGCACAAATTTTAACCAAGTTTCAGTCACCAAGCAAATCTTCAACACAGCAGTACCACATTCTAATAGCAAATAAATTAGTAAAATATTGGAAGGTATTCCAAGGGTCACATCTTCAATGAAAAGGATGAACTTTTTATTTTGTCTTTTTTCCAATTTATTCCAACATAATGGTTAAATAATTGTTATAAACCAAAACAAATGAGCAATTGACTCAAAATACTTAAAATTTAAATCCAAATTACACAAACCTGTGTTTTGTAACAAGTGTTGATAAACGGGACACTAATATAAAAAGATTTTAATTATTCGTTAACAAACCATTCTTGTTCAAATAGCACGGCTGTTTAAAGCCACTGCTAAGAAGTTCAGGAATAAATCACATTCTAATGAGCTACTAATGGAAAGAGGGGGCAGAAATGGGAAGGTAACACAGTCACTTACATAACAATAAACAAAATTCCTAACTGAAAAGAATAAAATACTTTTAGCCCAAATATTCATTTCACTGCCTTTTCTTCTTTTTTTTTTTTTTCCCTTTTAAACTGGAACATATTGGTGTATTTTGCAGATGACGCTTTATTATCTTTTTTCAGCATATACTGGAAGGTCAGAGACTCTTTAAAATACAGCTGCTTAAAATGGAACTCTGATTCAACCATACCAGCACAAAGACCGCTACTATCATTAAAGAAAAACCCAGACGTACATAGCATACAAATTCAACACAGATTGTACAGCCATAGCAGAAAACCCTTTAACATTCAATGTCCAGTTTAACAACCACTGCTATTCTTCAAATAAGTTTCCATTACTATTGATCACACTTGCAAAATTCATTAAAACTAGTCCCATTTAAGTCCGGCACTTACCACTACCTAGTCTTAGAAGCAGTACATCCTGGAGTCTCCTGTTCAAGTCTCTGAGCTCTTTCATTTCTGACACGAGTGCCCCATACTCCTTTAGCTTCTTTGCCTGTTGCACAAGCTGTCTCCGTGTCCTCTCAAGCTCCTGTTGAATGTGTCTCATTTCTTCTTGTTGCTGTTGGTAACTCCTCAGCAATTCTTCATACAGAATCCGAGGAACTACAGCATCGTCCATGTTGTTCATGCTTTCCGAAGTCTCCATAAAAGCCTCCTCAGGGCTGGAAGTATTACTGAGACTCATCCCATTCTGCTTTTCAAGCCGAGCAACAACTGCTTCAATGCTTTTGTGTGTACCTTCGCTTTGTTTCCTCCCATCTTGTCTCTGCATGTTACAATAAAAAATAAATAAATTAGGAGTGCAGCAAGATGTAATACAAATTACAATTCTACAGACTTGGAAACCATTAATATTCTCATTTTCCAAAAAAAGCAAGACAAAGTCTGTCTGCAAAAATGTTTTGCCTAACGGATTCTTGTGGATATACATCATAACTATCATGCACACGTAATTCAGCTAAATGCACATACAAACTTCTGAGGCAGCTAAAGGCCTTTCTGCATTTGTGTGACACTTGCAAACTGAGTGTACATAGGTCATTTGATTCCATAGACAAAGATAATTACTGTCTTTAAAAAAAAAATCTGGATCTTTTTTCCTTTAAAGTTTAGCCCTAACATTTAGATTTCTGACAGCAATTGATTTTCTGATAAGTAAGAGAAAGAATCAACTACGCACTATGTTTGTCACCTGTAACAACATCAGAGATGAAAGCAGCATATCACACAAAGTTGTTCTGGGAACAGAGGGCTTGTCCTTCCCACACTTTGGGAGACAAAACCTTCTCTGACTATTCCTCTAGCACGTTCACCCAACTGCCTGATGCAAGTGACTGAGCTAACACTATCAGCAAACACTGTAAGGGAACTGAAAATACAGAAGGTAGAGACAGAATATATCATTCAGTCTCATCTTCCTGATCAACTGATTCCTTCTATATTAGTACTGCATTGCAGAGGCTTCATCTCCTTTGAACTCTCAGCAGAAATTTACCTTCAGTCACCTGCACAAGCCCTACAAATTAAACTACACCTCTGTTCTGGGGCCTGGATAGTGGTATTAAAATGTGACAGTACGGGTAAAAATCACTAAGTTTTACTGGCCAAATATGGAAAAAACATTTGAACTTCCAAGCAACTGCAAGGAAAGCAAATGTAGCTCATAGGTTAGAGACAAGAAGCTGACACTATCAATTCCCATACCACAATATCCATGAGTAATGTGGCAGAAAATGAGATTATTTGATGTTATGCCTGCTCCACACATGTTCGGAAAAAAAATAAAAAATGCTGGCCCACCATAAAGAAATGTACTAGTATCGTTCCTGCAGCTGCAAAACACATGAAGCCACACAGCAGTATTTTATTCTGAAGGTTGGCAGACTTTTAAAGAAATCATTTGATATCAAAAAATAAATACATTTACATAGTGAGTTTCTGGCATCTGGACCTAAAAAGGCAACTGGCAGTTATAACAGAGGGATGCAGTCCTGTCAATTTGTCTTCTCACCCACTGCCGTAGTTGGGAAGTCTCAGAGCACCCCTTCCAATTCCAAACAGGCAGCGCGCAATAGGTCACAAGTGCCACTGAGAACAGCTGCTCGACATTCATGTAACTGGTGACTTTTAAAGCATTCTGGGCCAAAGTAGGAGAGCATTGTTCCAAAAATCTCAAATGGCAGTTAAACTGTGCAGACGGTATAAACAGGAAAATGTTCGATTGCACATAAACCAGGTTTTGAAAACCCGTACCCCACCCCCACACAAAATTTGACCCAATTTCACTAAACACAGTGTTTTACAGGGGATCAAAAGCAGGCCTGGAATTCTTAAGCTATGACGTCTGTATATACCCCAAGCACTTCCAAAAAAAAGAAGAAGAAAAAGAAAAAAGAAAAAAGAAAAAGAAAAAAGGAAAAAAAAACAACAAAAAAAAAAAAGGAAAGACTTCAGTACCTTACTGTGTCTAAGCTCCACATCTTCTTCCCCATAATCTGTAACCTCCCCAGCTTCTTCTACGTGATTGAGAGAGAGTTTGGGGATTTTAATTTTCTTCTGCATCACACTGTTCTCAAGGTCAGTTTTGTCCTCTAAAATGTATATTAAAAATAAAGTTTTGTTACATTAATCAGTGTTCTTACTTCCAAATACTACATGACTTCAGCAAGACCAGTTGAAAAAAAAACCTCCCATGCTTCAATCCCCTTATAATACTATGATCAAATTAATCAATGGTGTAACTCAACTGATGTCCGCTGACAATTCTAGAGTTTCAACAGGGGATCAATCTGGCCAAACACCACGAATAAATATTGTAAAATGCCAAGCTAAATTCATGTGAGTGATCAAAAGTGTCATTGAGTAGTTTGTACTACCACTAAAATAAAAGTTAAAGATGCTGTAAATAAAACAAATTCCTAAAAACAATCTGTATTACTTTAAATTATGTTTACCGATGGTATTTTCATATTAATAATCTGTGGCTGAAGTTCAAACTCTGCTTAGGTTTAAAAGAGAATAAACTTGGTAATTCATCCTATACCCTAACCATCATCTGTCAGCAGTACAGATCTATTTGCACAGACGGCAGATTCTGCTGTTTCTGGAAAGTGCAGGGCTGGAAAAGGGGGTGCTGCAGGATAGGTTCAAAGGGTATTACAGAGAAGTTGGGTATGGACTAAATCTGTAATAAAATTACTATACAACCCCTATTTCATTAATTAATGTTACTAATCATTTTCCTTTTGATACACAAAGCCAATAAATGGTTACATTAATCTTTGAATCTCAAAAAAAAAAGGTAAAATATTTTCAAGTCTGAAACATTCTAACACATCTCAAAATTAAGTATTTCAAACCTTATTTTCAGAATAATGGTTTGAAATACTTTAATATTCCTGAAAAGGCACAGAGGGGACAGGGAATCAAGAGTATAGTCTCCCTAAACGTGCCTGTGATCCATAAAAGTCTTGCAGAACAGACAAGGTCTTAAAAGATTCACAAGCTTAGCTACCTGTTCAAGACATTGACGTGGATAAATGCATTTAAACACTGAACTGTTGTCTTTGCGCACTGAAAGCTTATGAATAAGAAAACATTTTGATTCTTCTTATCCACCTGCAAACTGTATTTCACAAAGTGTCCCATGAATATTTTTGAAAGTGCCAATGAGGATGGCATTTGTGAGTGCTTAGTTGCATTGACTTTTGCTTTCTCAAATTAGCATCTCTCCACAGGACCTCAAAATGGTTAGTGTTGACAGTGTAGAAAAGGGAAACAAAGGTAAATCACTGTTTAATGAGGAGCAAGGCATTCATTAGAAATGAATTACACAGATGAATGCAATTCATTTTGTTACAGATAGAAATGGATCTCTTGTAGGCAAATGGTGATATTACAGCCCAAGGCTATGTAAAGAGAATAGGCACAGAACATACAGAATAAGACATCAGACAACCTGAAATGAAATGCAGATGGTAGCAATAAATACTAAGACAGATGCAAAAAGAAACAGATAAACAACAAAAAACAGCTAGGCTTATTTTAGATCATTCTCTATTCCCCAGAGCATCACGGATGCTTTTCCCAGTAAAACAAAAAAGCAATCCAACTGTTTCAGTTTTGAAAAATAAACCCCTACATTTTCATTTATCTGGAAAATGTAGGTTCATCAGAAAAGTGAAATAAGTAAGACAGCAGAGAAGAAAAAAAAAAAAAACCAACAAAAAACCCTTCCTAGAAAAAAAATACAAATTTACAGACTAAAGGACAGATTGATGGGTATTGGTATCTTCTTGGAAGGACAGAAATTTAAGAATAAACAAATCCATATTGAATGAAGAAAAAAAAAAACCCAAAACACAAACCCACCAACTTTTTCTGTGACTATGTAGTTTGGGGTATCTGACAGATTAAGGAATCCTTTGCTAAAATATGTTCTCACAACTCCTTAGAGGAAGAGCAGCACATGAATGCTGCGGAGCCAGCTTCTCTAGAGTGCTTTGCCAAATCATCTTCCACAGAACATGCAGATGAACTCCTACATTTAAAGAATGCAGATCAGTTTCTATGCTCTGAAATAACCCTGGGCCTCACAACAAGATGGACACAATCCAATTACTTCACATAGTTAAAAAAATTGTCTGCTGGCAACTAGCTGAGGTCACCAGTAGCCAGCACCCCATGCAAACTGGAAACGGACACCAGTCATCCTTCCCATGGCCAGAGAAAAGCAACTCTTGAAACACTCATGGAAAGCGGTCACAGAGGAGCGTGTATGTGCAGACTACAGTGGAAATCAGCAAATACTTTCCAAAAAATAAAAAAACCCAACATTAAAATAAAACCAATTTGGAAGAACAGAAATATTTATCTTTTTAAGTCATATTATAAAGGTTAGGAACACATCTTATGCACTGAATAACAGAAATGAAAGAAAATACTTAGTTTGGGGTCAAATAAAACAATGCAAATTATCCAAATTCTTCATTCTCTCCACCCCCCTTCCAATTTCTCAGTTTGCCTATGAAATCTATGTTTGCAAAACTTCACTGGTGGACTGAAGATAAAAGTTTATTTATATACCTCCTTAAAAATGCTAAGTTTATACATTATTGGTGTGTAACTATCAACATGGTTCTCTTCCATGTTTGGCAAATGTCTTCATTTGACTTTTTGATTTTACTGCTTACCCTGTAAATGAAACAGTAAATTGAAAAAAGGAACTCTCTGCTCCCCACACAAAATTTGAAGAAACAATGGTGAAAATGAGTTCATATAAGTTAAAGCTCAGGAATTTTTAATTTTGTCAATGAGTAAACAATTTTATATTTGTCTTCCCTCCAACAACACCACATACAATATTTTCTTACATATGCTCTGGTCTTTGTAGGCCTATTGATACCTAACACAATTCATCTAGTGTGTTGGATATGAAAAGGCCTTTTGTTTTTCTTTTTTTTTTTTAAAGTGCATTTCTAACCCCTGTTGTCTTCTACATTAGCTGCAGATACAGCCAGAAAAATCTCATTCTGAATTCAAGGCTAATGCTGGAGTACTGGCTCTTGTTCTGTAAATATTAATGGAATTTGGGAAGGGGTGGGAGGCAGTGAGAGGGGGAGGAGAAACATGAATGTGCATTTCAAGCAGTTCTTAGGACTCTCTGTCTGTTGTTATGCCAGCCTACAAAAGACAGGTACAAAAGAATCCAGAAAAAAGCAAAACACGCACAAATTTGAGCCAGAAGAAAACCAGGACATGAAACAAAAGGCTGGACAAGCTGCAATTCAGTGCCTGAAGCTATAGAACATGCTAGGAGAGAGAAGGGCAGTCCTAGAAACACTGTAGCTCAGAGCCTCATTTTGTAATGACCTGAAAGATTGGTCTGGACTTTGTCCTCAGTCATTTAAACCTTGCCAGAAGTTCAAAATTACACCTTCCCTTAGGTGACCATGATCAGATTGTCATAGGATAAAATCATATAATTATTTTGGTTGGAAAAGACATTTAAGATCATCAAGTTCAACCATTAACCTAGCACTGCTAAGTCCAACCACTAAACCATGTTCCTAAGCAGGACATCCACAAGTTTTACATGCCTCCAGGGATGGTGACTCAACCACTTCCCCAGGCAGCCTGTTCCAAGGGTTGACAACCCTTTCAGTGAGGAATACCGTTGTGTCTATTGTTTTTCCTATGCATGGCATAAGTAGTTCAGTGATACCAGCTACCAAGAACTAGCATTTAATACACCTAATTAGGTACTTGTAACAAAATACGCAGGGTAGAAGCAGGATACGAGAATGGACAACATTGATGTCTTCTGTCCTTTAAGAAGGGACATTCTGGAAGACCCGTGTAAATTAGGAAAGATAGCTTTTGTGCACAGTAGCCATAATGCCAAACAGAGAACACCGTATTCTGTGATTCGACATACAAAATAAAGCATGCTGGAATAACTGTATTCCAGGAAAAGGTCAGACTTGGAGAGATCTTACCAGTCAACGCCACAAGGTACTGAAATACATGGCTCGAGCCAGTGCACATCACAACACCCCTCCCATACGGCCACCTACCAAAGTTGTTCAGATAGTAAGAAGAAAGTGAACTGCTAAGAAATTTCAGAGTGGCTGGGAAGACATTTGGCCTCAGCAGTGCTGAAAGAAAGAAAAGCCAAAAAAACAACCCTGCATTAAAAAAGCCTGTATCAACTAGAAAAGGATAAACTGTTCCTGGAATGTTTTCTTCAGTCAGCTCTTCATTTCAGTGTTAGGATGGGTGGATCCAGGCCAAAAGGTAAAAGCTTTAAGTCTGGAGCGGCAGGGAACTGAGGCAGACAAAGCAACTTTGACAGGGCAAGGAATGAGCTGGTTAAAATCAAGTAAAAATACATTAGTGCTCTAAAATTGAAAACCCTATCGGGAGATGTAGAATAATACTATGGAAATCTCAGTGTTTCCTTAAAACATTCCTTACTTTCTAATTTAGAAGAACTGAACAAACTAATCCCTTAAAAAAATAGTTCAAATGGTGATTTTTTTTTCCACCTTTGGAGTAAAATCTGGAAAAACAGAGGAAGAGAGCTCCGCGCTCCAAGTGGATGAGGGATGGCAGGTCTGGGATCAGTCCAAATAAGGGGCTTGGCAATGCTATAAATCTTAGAGTAATAAAACAAAAGAACCTTGAGCAAAATTCGTCCTTCCCCTAAGCCTTTGAAAAAATTCCACCCCTTGTGAAAAGCGATATACTGACAGATGAAAAAATTTACCATCACCCTTCCCATTTCCAGGCATATACCCAACACATATGGGCAACACCTGTACAAAATTCCCCCTACACTGCTGCACTGAACTGCTTCGCTACTGATTTTGCCAGGTTGCTTCTACAGAGCAGAGAATGTCACCTGCCTCGGCAGGTTGTCCATCAGTTACAGCTCAAAGTAAAAGACACTTAAGAACCAAAGCAAAAAAACCCCACAATGAAAGGTATACTTGGTGCTTCAAAACAAATACGCGCACCAAGCACCACAGGGCATGGATTCCTAAGTGCCACTTAAATGTAAATAAACAATAATCAATATTGCTGTGACTGA